TGCCTGATGGTGCTGGAGTGTGTTTGCTTGAGAAGGTGGAGACCCCCAGAGAGAAGTGGGAGGGGGCCTGGTCTTCATGGAGCTTGCAGTCTGGCAGGAGGCGGAGGTTAAATGCCTTAGGAGAGACGTAACATCTAGTTAGGGTTTCCAGGAGTAGTGGAGGGAGATAGGGGTCCTGGGAGTGATGCCAGGACTGATCTGTTCCAGGGAGCTTGCTCTGAGCGAGTAACAGCAAGTGAAGTGTGTGGAGACGGTGGGGAGCGCAGGGTTCCAGGCTTCATGATGCGGCGGTCTCAAGGCCAGAGGAGCGGGGCGTGGGGAGCCACAGCAAGGCCAGAAGTGGGGAGTGACCGATGAGCTGTGAGGTGTGGCAGGAGTCACTGGAGGGCTCTGGAGCAGAGGCACTGAGCCCCAGCCAGACTGACCTGGCCTGTCCCAGGGTCTCTGCTGTGTTGTTTAGTGCTCTGTGTATCTTCATATCACAGTTCGGAACACAGTCCCAATAGCTTTGAGAACTGTCGACCAAGTGCAGCCTGATTGTTAAGTCTTTGTCAGAACTTTTTAGCTGTTCTCACACGACTTACTCTCCCACGATCAAGCATCATTCACCCATCTGTCCAGCTATCAGATATTTACTGGGGCATGGTGCTGGCTGTGGGGGTGAGGTGGTGAATGCGACAGAAAACCTCTCCTGGCACTTACATGCCAGCACGCGATCAACGGAGTCTGTAAAGGGCTGGATAGTGTATGCAGTCAGCAGGCCGCACGGTCTCTGTCGCAGTTCTCTTACTTGGTTGTAGCAGCACAACAGCAGCTGTAGACAAAACGTTAATGATTGAGGTGACTGTGGTCCAATAAAACTTTATTTATAAGAACAAACGGTGGGCCAGATTTGATCCATGGGGACTGTGGTTGTTGACCCCCTGGCTTATTATTTTTTTCTGATCCTTAAAGTCAACTTGTCACATGCAAAGAGAGCTGACCGTTCAGAGTATGAAGGGTACCTGGAAACAGGATCTTTCCCATTATCCAGGACAGTTTTTGTGCTTTTAGGAAAGTTGTGTAGTTTTCTTCATATAAAACTCAACTCGGCCCTGTCGAGTTGGACCTGACTTACAGCGATCCCTCCTTGGTTTTCTGAGGTGGTTTTCTGAGGTGGCATCATTACGGAAGTAGATTGCCCAACCTTCCTTCTGAGGAGTGGCTGGTGGGTTTGAACCACCAGCCTTCTGGTTAGCAATCAAGTGCCTTAGGCACTGTGCTACCAGAGCTCCCTTTACTTCATACAGATCTTGACATTTATTACTAAATTTTACTCAGTAGTTCTGTAAGTTTTCCATTGTGGATAGCGTCAACAGCATCTTTTTAGGAAAGCTGTAGATTTTTGCACGTTTATTTTTGTCTGATTTGAACTATTCCTTTCTGAACCTTTCCTAAGTTTTAATACTTTTCCATTGACTCTCCCAGACCAGCATGACCCAATAGAATTCTCTGTGGTGTTGAGAATGCTCTAGATCTGCGACACCACTTGTCACACTGACACTTGAAACGTGACCAGTGCAACCAAGAAACCGGATTTTAAGTGTTACTGAATTTTAACTAACGTAGCTTTCAGTAGCCACGTGAGGCTAGTAGCTGCGGCATCGGGCCATCTGCCCTTGGCCTTCCAAGTTAGAGAGTCATGGGTAGGCAGATCACTTACACAGTCCCACCTTTTGTTTACTTTTTTCTTCTTCCTGCGTTTTTTACCCGCCCCCCCACCTCCAGGATATTGTTACATACCAGGCAGTAGCAGGCCACTCCTGTGTCTGATAAAGTGGGGTCATTGCTGATGGTTTCTGCCTTTAATCCATTGACCGTCAGTGTAGTTACTGACAAGTGTGAATTCCTTGCTGTCTTTTTTCCTGGTGTTGCTGAGTTCTTTGTTCTGTATAGTTTTCTGCGCTGAGCTCATTTTGTTTATGAATCATGATACTGCCTTCCTCTGTTGTTTTAGTATTTGCTACGTATTTGTGTTTCTCTTCTTTTTTATTTTGATGTGAAGGTTTATTGTTTTTCTTTGAGTTTATCCTGTGATTTATAATTTTTTTCCCAAGTTTAGAACAGTCTGTTCTATCTTGTAATTGTCTTGACTTCCTCACCATTGAGAAGTTCTATGACTATACTGTGTTTTTCCCTCTTTTTGGCTTGGAGTTGTACTCATTTGATAATTGATGTCTCTGGTTCCCTGTTTACAGTCTTGTAAGTTTATTTTACTTTGCATATTTCTATCACTGGGTTGGTTCCTGGGTTATGTCATCATGTGTGTTAATGGCCAGTTGTTGTTTGCTGTTGTTGGTTCTTTGTCCAAAGGACTCCCTTTAGCATCTCCAGTTAAGTTGGTCTGGTTTTAGCAAATTATCTTAATTTCTGCTTATCTGGAAATGTCCTCATTTCACCATCATATTTGAGGGGCACTTTTGCTGGGTAGATAATTCTTGGTTGGAAATTTTTCTCCTACAGGGTTTTATATATACCATCCCATTGCCTCCTCACCTGTACGGGTTCTGCCGAGGTATCTGAGCTTACTCTTACTGGTTGCCCCTTGTAGGTAACTTTTCGTTTTCTCCGTGCTGCTTTCAGGATTCTTTTCTTTGTCTTGTTTTGGTGAGTTTGGTGATGATGTGTCTTGGTGATTTTCTTTTGCAGTGTGTCCCGTTTGGGGTTCATTGCACTTCTTGAATGGATATATTCCTGTCTTTGATCATATCAGGAATATTCTCTTCCAGCAAATCTTCGACAGTTTTCTTTCTTTGTGGTTATTCCTGTTCTGGAATTCTGATTACACGTAGGTTATTCCTCTCGAAGGTATCCCACATGAACCTTAGGCTTTCTTCATTTCGTTTTGATCTTTTTTCTGATTGAACCCTTAAAGTAGTATTGAGGTACTTGTCTTCAATCTCACTAATTCTGTCTTCCATTGATTCAATTCTGCTCCTTTGCCCTTTTAATGTGTTACCTATTTCTGAAATTTTGGTATTAATCTTCTGGATTTCTATCTGTAGATTTTGTAACGTTTTTAATTTTTTGTTTATT